CTTCTGTCATGCCGGCACCTTATTTTCGCGCAAGCGACAGTCATGGATTACGGAAATATCGTCATCGACCTAAAGAGATAAAAATGGGATAAAAAGCCCAATAACAAATGCGAAATAAAATCCAACTTCTAATAGAAAATAAGAATAAACTCATAAAATAAATATGCTAAAACTTAAATTAAAAAGATAAATAGAAAACATATATATATAAAGTATTCTAAAAATGCTAAAAAGATTATATTAGAAAAACTAACATAATATATATACATTTTACAAATTGTTCTAAGAAAAACTATTATATAGATATATTTACAATAACTAATGTATAATAACAAAATAATTTACATTTTATTTTTTTAAAAAAACAAAACAGGGGGTTTGGATATCAAAGGGGCGGTGTTAGATACTCTATGGGCTTTGCGGCCCCGAATCAAACAATAACCTGAATCAAAATAATAATAAAATTTAAATTGAAACAAAAAAAGAGGCAACTTGACGGATCCACTGAAACGTTAGTCCTTTAGGGGTCGTAACTCCATAGTCTCCACAAACTTCCTTTGTTTGTCCTTGGAATCACCCATGACTTCTCTCACAGTATCGCTCTGGTTTTGAGCGGCTGAAAGAAAGAGGACGGAGGGGTTGGAAGTGTTGAAGTGAAGAAGGTTGAGGTTGTGAGAAATGGGTATGTTGAAGAAAGTAGGTATTGGGTTTCGCGAGGAACACGATTGAGGTTGTGGTTTGTTTTCAAATGGTGGAAATGGGTTTATTGATGAAGGTAGGTTCTGGGTTTGGTGGTTGTGAGGATGAGTGAACTTCGTGTTCTAAAATGGGTTAGAGTGGTTGTGGAGTTTTCCGTCAGGTTTCGGTTTGAGAACCGCGGCTAGCTATGGATGCATGTTGTTGGTTACTGAAAATGGGTAAGGTTTTACGGTGAGTTTCGAGAGAGGTTTCGGAGAAGAAGATTGATGATGGAGAAGGTTATTGTGAAATGGGTTTCGAAGGCGATGAGTTGTGGTTGTTAATGGTGAATTATTGAAGATCTGGTGGGTTTCGAAGGAAGGAGAAAGGATATGTTTGTTGAAATTGAAGTTGGAGAAGGGTTTCGTCTGGGTTTCATCTTCGAAGGTGATGGTGAGAGTTTGGAGGTTTGGAGCTTTAATGGCGAAAATGAGTTTTTGGGTATGGTGAAATCTGAAGGTTGAATGTTGGTGAAACTCGAGTAAGTATTTTTCTGGGTGAAGGTTGTTGGTTTGATGATGAATGTTTGTTTGACAGAGAGTGAGTTTTCGGAATGATGGAAGTTCGAAGGTTTATGGTGATGATTGTTGTTTGTTCTGGGTTGTATTTGGAAATCTGCAGATATGGTGATGAATGAACGGGGAAGATGATGAACAAGGTAGGGGGAGAGGGCGGCTGGTGAACAGTAATTATAGGGTTCTGAAATGTTAGGGATGATGAATAGTGTTTTATACCCCCAGAAGCTGACACGTGGCAAGGCCTGGCTTGGTTTTGCTGATTAAATGATCAATGTTAATGTTGACTTAAAAAGATGATTAATGATAAATGCTAACTCTAAAAAACCAATACTAATTAAATGCCGACTATTAATAATAAAAACCTAATTAAATCTAAACTAAAGTAATTTAATTTAAATAATACTAGTGAAAATTTATCCTAATTAAAACTACAACTGATTAATTCTAATAAAAACTAAACTAAACTAATCACTAATTAATCTATATTAACAAACTCTATTTAAACTAAATAAAAAATGAAAATATTTGTGAAAACTACTAAATTAAAAACAAATTCTATTTCAAAAATAACTAAAATTCTGATATTCTACTTAACTCCTACTAAAGATATATATTCTAAAAAAATCTAAATAAGAAACTATATTCTAATTAAAAAAATTCTATGCTAAAAATTCTAATAAACTATCCTAGAAAACTATTAAATAAGAATTCTATAAAAACCATGAAAAGAAATTAAAGCAGTAAATAAAAATGCAAGAATGCAGCAAAAAACAGTAAAAGGACGACCACCGAAATGCCACCGACAATATCAGCACAGACCAGACCAACAGAATGAGAACAATCTCCGCTCGATTCCGAAATAACTCCTTATTTGAACTAGTTTGAATTGCCTGAAACGCGAGCAAAGCGGCTGTGATCCCGATAAACCACTCCGACTGACAAAATGCACAGTATGCGATAAATGATATGCAAATGCAAATGAAATGAAACAATAAGCCAAGTTACTAGAAAATGTTGGTCAAATTTTGGGGTACAACAGTGCCATCCAAAAGAGGCGGTTTGTTGACAAATCCTAGTTCCATGTCTTTAGTATCAGAAAGTATCTCCCTAGAGCTCACCCAAAACAGAACAAGGTGTTTACTCTGACGCCAATTGAAATTCTGGCAAGTAGTGGAAAAATGTCGAATATGATGTCAGGACGTCGTAACAACAGAATTAACACAAGAACAATTTAAATAAAAATTACAGGATTTTAAATAACACACAGTAGTTGTTTACCCAGTTCAGTGCAACGTCACCTACATCTAAGGGCTACCAAGCCAGGAAGGAAATTCATTATGATAGTATTAGTTTAAAGATAAACTCCCCCGTTTACAACTTCTCGCCTAATCCCTACCTTGTGGAACTTCTACCTAGAAACCTTCTAGATATGAGATCCCCCTCTCACTCACTAATGAGTCACAGTCCCAGTGACAATTCAATAATAACCAACAATAGAAGTATCCCACTTCTAAGACAATACTTAATTTTTCTTAAAAGCTTTAAATTAAGGACAATACGCTCTTTCTTAAAAGCTCATGAGTGAACAATTGACAATTAACGCAATCCTTCTCAGATGTCAAAAGATATAAGAGAGGAACATAAAGAACAACACAAAAACCCTAGAAGAATCTCACACAAAAATAAGGCACACACACACATTTTCTAGGTTAAAATCCTTTCTTATAAATAGCCTTTGAGAAACACGGGCTTAGGCATAAAAACAACAACAGATCCAAAACAGCTACTGTAAATATTCTGCATAATCTTCTTCACAAAAATAGGAACTAAATAGAAAGTTTCCTAAAAAGGCTCCAAGATACTTTTTACGAAAACTAACAGAATCTGTTATAACAGAAATTCCCACAATATACTCCCATGAGTAACGCACATGTCTGAATCAGAACACACTCAAAAATCACACTAAAAATACCAAAATAGTCATGTCCTAACTTTCTGGTATAACATGTCCTGAAACATGTCACAACATCATGCAGAACATGATGTTTGAATGTCATGGCAGAGCATGATGTCTGACTGTCATGGCAGAACATCTGATTTAACATCTTGCTAACAAAATGTTGTTGTACCAAAATGTAGTCAATCCAAACTTCACAGGACTTACAAAATTAATTACTTGATTTTCAATCGCTCACTCTCTCACGTATTCTCTTTAATTCTCAGTCTCACTCTTCTTCATCTTCTTACTTTGAAGCACATTTTCTTTCATAACTATCATCTTCTTATTTCTCCCATCTTCTTTTACAACCATTTTCATTTGTTCATTTTACCGGAGTTATGTATGTTCTATTGTTTTTTATATTAATGGTTGTTTTTTTTTTATATTAATGATTTTTGTTATTTTAATGGTTTGTCTATTTCAACGGTTGTTGTTAGGGATGGACATCGGGTGGTTGGGGTCGGTTTTGGATCATAAATTGCTCATCCAATGAAAACCGCGGGCAAAAGAACAAAGTCCATTTCCGTCACTTCTACTTCTCGGTTAAGTCGGATTATGGGTTGATTTGGTTTCTGTTTGTTTGGGTGGTTTCAAACGGTATTGAATCGATCTAGATTTTGAACACTTGATAGGAGAAAAAAATCCAAAAGAAACTAAAACAATCAACTAGAGAAACCATTAAAATAACAACAACAATCGTTGAAATAGATAAACCATTAAAATAACAGCAACAATCGTTGAAATAGATAAATCATTAAAATAACAACAACTTTAATGTGTAAAAACAATAAAATAACCATAACTCCAATAAAATGAACAAATGAAAATGGTTGCAAAAGAAGATGAGAGAAGTAAGAAGATGATAATTTTAAAAGAAGATGTGATTCAAAGTAAGAAGATGAAGAAGAAAGAGACTGAGAATGAAAGAGAAGACATGAGAGAATGAGAGATTAAAAAAAATTTATGTGTGTGTATGTGTGTGGGGGATTGGCAAAATACGTCAAAACTTACTCTTGACATTTTAAATTTTAAATGATAACTCTAAGACGCGAAGCTTAGAATGAGGTGAGCTTTCACACTTTCACAATTGCAAATCTACAAGTTTTCTTTCTTGATACATCAATGACTAAAGACTTCAATTGGAACTTGAATCTTCTGACTGATGAGACTTGAAATATCTTCTTAATCTGGTGCTATCATTAGAGCCTTTACTTTAAAACTTGAAATTTACTCTCTCTATCAAATTTTTCGATATCTCTAAATTGTTTGACCTATGAAATTTTCATCTTCAAAGTTGTTGCTTCATCTGTTGTCATCATCAAAACATATTTAAACGTTTCATAATAATTTTGCATTTTTAAAATAAATTTTATGAATGTTTACATAAAAAAAAATTATATTTTTGTTTTTTAAATTACATTTTTATCAATATAAGATAAAATTTGTAAGCAAGTAAAAAGAGAAAAATAATTGTAACTAAATCAAAATGTAGAATGGGGTGTACATGGAATGGGTTGCCGAATAGATTTCTCTTCCATGACATGAGTGATTTGGATAAAGTTGGGCCCAATAATGGGTCATCAAATAAAAGCCCAACACAGTGACAAAAGCCCAAACTTTCTTCTCTTCTTCAAGAATCTCACAAACTCAAATCCCATTTCTCACAAACTCAAATCGTCCCTTTCTTCTTGATCTCTTCTTGGACGCCATTTCCATTCTCTCAAAATCTCTCTGCAAACCAGTGGATGGCAAAAAACAACAAATATGCTTCCATCAACTTCAACCACATCTACGACAAATCCATAACAACCACCACCAAAACCACAAACACCTCAAAAAGCCCCTCCATTTCTTCATCTTCATCCTCCTTCTCCTCCGCTTCCTATTCTGCCGTTTCCGCTCCCAACAAACATGGCCGCATCCTCGTTCTAACCCGACCCACACCCAAACCCATCGCACACCATCCCACCCCTTCTCCCGCACCGCCGTCCAAACCAAACCCGATCTTACAGGCTCCTCCAGATCGACCCCGGTCCGAACCGGTTCCAGATTCGATCTCGCTTCGTCCTCTGGGTCGAACCGGAGCCGGGTCGCCTCTTTTACCAACCCCAAATCTGAATCACGAGAAAGAGAAAAATTTGGGTTCTCTGAAGCCGAATAAGTTTATCCCGCCGCATCTTCGACCGGGGTTTGTGCCTAGAGAGGAGCCTCCTAAACCGGAATTGGGTCGGTTTAGGGAAAACTTGCGACCCAAGTCTGGTGGAAACGAGAGGATGAGAAGAGTCGGTGTTTCAGATTCGAGTTTCCATAATCGCCCCAGTTCTAGTGGATGATGTTGTTGACGATGGTATGTGTTTGAACAATTTCATTTTCTTGTTTGTTGTTTAGAAATCTTTTGTGCAATCTGGTTGTAGAATAGTTAATCTGAGAAAATGTGTTTGTGCAGAATAGTTGAGTTCTTTTCTGACATCAATTTCATTGTAGATGGAGGCAGATTCTCAACACCTAACCCTCACAATTGTAATGAAAAATGTAGATTTTGACAAGATGATTTGCCACTGATGATGCTGATGATGACAATAGTGTAGAATTAGAATCTAAGTACATATTTTGAATTTCATGTTCAACTTTCTTTGCTGTTTTTTGGGGCATGCCATTGTGATTTGAGCATGTGTTGTTTGTTGTATTTCATCTTTTGGTACTGTGTTGCACAATCTTGGCTTTTCACTTCCTATAATCAATACTAATGCTAATATCATTTTTAATACTCTTTTGTTCTCATCATTTAAACGGCAAGCGCATCAAGATCTTAAGTGTTGCAATGCTTTAATTCAACTACTCCATCATTGACCTGGTCTATGGGAAAGTGAAATCAGACATCTATGTACTTACATCTTTTATGCATGATCGAGTTTTTTTTTTCTTTGACAATTTTATTGAGGAATTGTTGTCATAGAAGATGATTGATTATTTCTAAGATATCTTCGAATGAGCCAACACATTTCTTAATCAAATCCCTTGGCAAGCACGTGAAGCAGCAACTAGAATTTCTGCTTATTGGCTATATTTTTAGGACCAAGAGATTGACCTTGAATGGATTTTAAAAACATGTTCTCAAGAGATCTTCCTATCATCTTCATCTCTTGCATAATTTGAGTCACTACAGCCTAATAATTACAAACTGGTTGTACCTTCATGCTTAAATAGGATGCCAAAATTTAATGTGGTATGCAGGTATCCATTACTCTTTTAATTTCATCAACATGCATTTTTTAGGTCTTTTCAAGTATTTAGTTAGAGGTGTTCATGATTGTGGGGGACTGCAAATCAGTTGACCTAAATTGAACCAACATATTAATTACTCGAATTTGTTCATTTAGGAGTATATTGCGTTTCTTAAGTTGTGGGCCCGCTGATCAAACTTATTGATTTCTTAACTTTTTTAAAATGAAAAATTAAACTAGTATATAACTACAAACCAATATTTCTCCTAGTTTTTCATTCAACGGTAAAAATGTTATTAGTAATTTTGAATTAATGATTTCATGTAATTTTAAAATTAAGCGTTGCTTATTTGATTTAATATCATTTTTAATATATATATATATATATATATATATATATATATATATATATATATATATATATATATATATATATATATATATATATATATATATATATATATATATATATATATATATATATATTGTGAAATTTGTTAATCTTATTAGGATGGCAATTTGGTTCATTTTCATAGGGTATTCACAAAAATTATCCATAACGAATAGGATAAAAATCTGCAAAATGGGTACGGGCATGGGCACAGGGAATTACCCACAAAAAAAACATGGGCATGGGCTCGGGTATGAGTATCTCAGTACCCAGCACGACCGATACCCGCACTATATATACTTTTATATTTTTATTTTTATTATTATAAACACGTGTGTTTATCAATTTTATTGAATACATCAATATTAAATTTGTACACATTTCAATGTAAGTGATTGTTTATTTCTTAACTCAACAATAATATTCTTGAACTTTTTTTAATATTGCCAAAATTTTAAAATAATATGATAAATTATAAAAGATCGATAATGCTTTATTAGAAATGCGGATAAATGGGTACGGGTATAGGTACTTAGCTACCCATAGGATACGGGCACGAGTACAAATGTTGGTGCCCACACAGGTATGGGGGTCGGGTACGGGGATTTTTTTTAAAACTGCGAGTATAGGGACAAGTACTATAGTACCCTGCCCAAATTCTATCTATTGACATCCCTAAATTTTATTAAGTTCTATGTATATGGATGTATTTGATATTATATGATGTGTTGGATCTCATTTAAGTTTTGAAAATTTGCCTAAATGTATTGAACTGTGTTATAATTTGTTTTAATTAAAAAAATAGTATTAAATTTTATTTATTTTATTCACAGCCCGCAAATCCAACTCATCCCAACACGTAAATGAGCGGGTCAATTTAGTTTGGTTTTGACAGTGAAATAACGACTTAGACGATAAAACTAACCCATAAAAAATTAAACTGGTTGGGTTGAAAGTCTGAGTTGCACCTAAGAGGGGGGGGGGGGGGAGGAATTAGGTTCTTTGAAATTTTCTGGTTTTAGAGACTGATTTATTACTTTCTTGAGATATGATGATGGTATGAAAGTGGTAAAGTGCAGAAAGTAAAGAACACCAAGAAATATCATGGTTCCTTTCACACTCCGAAGGTACTCCAGTCCCCTTTAAACACGAAAGAGATTTCACTATAGTTAGGATCAATGTACAATACTTTATAACCTATAGGTAGATCAAAGGCTCTTAAACACCTTTAAGATCTAAAACACTAAGTGCAGGAAGAACAATCTTCTTCAATGCACACACTTGCTTTCAACAATCCTGAACAGCAAGGGGAAATAATACAATCTGATTTTGTAATAAGTTTGTAACAGTGTATACAGTGTTTATCAATGCTGTAGATTGATCTTCTCTTTCAATGAGAGTTTTCACGAGTATCTAAGACTTATTGCTCAAGAATTTTCTTTCAAAGGATATGAAAATTATGCAGAAAATTCTTTATGTAAAGTGATTTTACTTAGATAAGGAAAGATGAAATTGTGATAAAGATTTTGAAAGAAAATTGAAAGATATGTGTTTTTGAATTCGAAAGATTTTGGTATTTATATTACACAAACACCTCTTAAAAAAACATGCAAATCTCCAGAAAAATTGATGAACAATTGTCATGTTTCAAAGGAAACATTTCATGGAAGATTGGTTGAAGAGATGCAATTTTTCAGAATGATTTTTCAAAAATGTTCAGTGAGCAATCGATTGCACATATAGACCAATCAATTGCACCTTCACAAAAACACTTGAAAATTCAAATTTTCAACAGAGCAATCGATTGCACCAAAAGGACCAATCGATTGCACATTAAAACAGAAGCGAAAAAAGAGAGATTTTTAAGCATGCAATCGATTGTACCAAGGCACCAATCGATTGTTTACTGAAACAGAAGCAAAAAATGATTTAAAATTTTGATCATGCAATCGATTGCACTTTCAAAAACTTAGAAAAATTCTGTTTTAAAAAGCTTGTGTTAGTGTGAAAAGTAATGTAAAAGATTTTTAATATTTTTTAGCAATCAGGACTTAAACACTTGATGAAAATTCTCATTATACTTTCTGAGGGAAATATTCTTCATGTCAAGTCTTTGTCCTGATTCTGATATCTTGAAAAGGTTGATCATTTTTTCCTTCTTTGTCAAGTGATTTGTCTTCATCAAAACATAGGTTGATCTCTGAGAATCTTGATTTCACATGGGTGGTAATGTCGAATCTGGTCTAACCCAATTCGTTTACATCTCTACATCTAGCCACCAGGCACATTGAAAAAGCCATGTCAGATCTGGTAGCCAGTAGGTAAATCAAACTTCCTACCATTTGCTTGCAGATGGTAGCATCATAAACCTTTCCATTTTTACCCTTCACCAATATACAACAAAGAACAATATGGTTGCATACTTTGTTGCATCCCTCCATGCCAAACCTTGATAGAATCATAGTTGCACATTTTTGTTGATGGATGAAGATTCCATCATTTCATTGCTTCACCTCAATCCCTAAGAATTACCTCATATTTACCATGTCAGTCATGACAAACTCTCCTTTCATTAGTTATTTGAAATCATCCGTCATTTGAAGATCATTTCCATCCTAGACGAGGTCATCCATATACAAACTGACAATAAGAATCTTCCTTTCAATTCCACGTCTAAAAATGAGAATATGCTCATATGGGCATTTTTGAAACTTAGCAATACAAAAATATGAATCTATTTTGCTATATCAGGCCTTTGGAGCTTGTCTTGGGCCATATAAAGCTTTTCTCACCTTATAAACCATTGCAGGCATACCTTTGTGATAGCCTACAAGTTGGCTCATGTAGACATATTCAGCTAACTCTTTATGCAAGAATGCACTATTAACATTAAATTGAAATACATGTTTTTTAAATCTTTGATTTGTTGTAACTGCTAGAATGGCCTTGATGGTGCACCACCTAGTCACAAATGCATACTTCATTATAATCAATGCCATGCTTTTGAAAGTATCCTTTTCCTACCATTATAGCTCCATGTTTATGCATTTCTCCTTTTTCATTGTACTTTGTTTTGTAAATCCACCTTACTCTAGTTATTTTTAGGCCTATATGGAGTGTGGTCAATTTCCAATTATCATTCTTATCTATGTATTCTATTTTAAAACCCATTTCTCTTCTACAAACCTCATATTTGATAACTTCTTCATAGGTAGTAGGATCTTCATTTGAACTAGAGACTGCAAGATTATATAGGTTATCTTCTTCTCTATTGTCTAAGCCAGTGACATAGTCATTAAGATATTTGGAGGTATTCTAATTCTCTAAGTTGGCTCATCAGACTCATCATTCCTTTCTTAGCTTGTCTATTTTGCTTATTCACCATGGTCGTTATTTGCATAACCATCAACAAGGTCTTGATCTTCAATTATATTTTCTACTGCACCTGAATTTCTTGTGGTTCAACTTCACTTTCATCATGTACATGGATTTGTGATTCTTCAAGACTTGCTTGATCTTTCTTATTCCAGTACCAATATTTTTCTTCATCAAACACAACATCCCTAATAATAATGACTCTTCCTTCAACCGATTCATACAGTTTGTGGGATTTTGGTTTTTCATTAACTCCATGATTCACACATTACACACTTTTATCATCTAGTTTCTTTCTTTGTGTGTTAGGAACATGAGCACGATCCACACAACCAAACACTCT